AAATTTCGATGACCAAAGTCGGGGAATATGTCGTTAGATATAGACAACAAGATTAATGAAATATCACGTTTAATAAATATAGAGAGATTAGATCCTGCAGGAGATCCTTGATGAGCAGTCCGACCAGCACAGCTCTTATCTAGGTAGATAGGCTGCAGCACTTGCCCGAGAGTGTGTGTGTGTGTGGTCACGTAATGTGCGTTTTCAGCATTTTGGTGTGGACGGAGAGCTGTTCAGAAACACTGGGTGAAACGCTAGTCTGGACGCCGATCGTTTTCATTCTAAAGCGCCATTTTAAAACTAAAACGCACTAGTGTAAACGGGGCCTCAGACTGGTTTCTTGAACATGACAATAAGTTCGCTGTACTCAAACGGCCTCCACAGTCACCATATCTCAATCCAATAGAGCACCTTTGGGACGTGGTGGAACGGGAGATTTGCATCATGGATGTGCAGCCGGCAAATCTGCAGCCACTGCGTGATGCTATCATGTCAATATGGAGCAAAATCTCTGAGGAATATTTCCAGTACCTTGTTGAATCTGTGCCACGGAGGATTAAGGCAGTTCTGAAGGCAAAAGGGGATCCAAACCGGTACTAGTAAGGCGTACCTAATAAAGTGGCCGGTGAGTGTATATCTTGTATAAAATGCACATTTTGTCATTGCTTTGGAGCAGACTAGCTTATAACCTTCAGGCTAATGATGATAATGAGATGATAATCTCACACTCATAAAATATACTGATGATCTGGCATTGGTTTCCTGTCAGGAAGAAATGAATAGCTCCTTATATTTTAGATATATTGATAGTATTATAGATTGGTTTGGCAAAAGTTCATTATACCTAAATATTGGGAAAACAATAGAGTTATGTCTGGGGAGTCAAAAAAGAAGAGTAGATAATGGACTCTTTAAACCAGTCACCATAAACGGACAAATAGTAGAGCAGGTTTCAAATTTCAAGTATTTAGGCACAATTATTGACAATAAACTAAATTTTAATAGTAATGTAGAGACGGTTTATAAGAAAGAAAGTCAGCGCCTCTATCTCCTCCGCAAATTGAGAAGTTTTAATGTTAGTACAAAGACTTTAAACTTGGCATATAGATCACTTATAGAGAGTGTTCTCACATATAATATAGTTTCATGGTTTGGTAACAAAAAACTTAAACAAAAAAAGAAATTAGCGCAAATTATCAATCAGGCAAATAAGATAACTGGTCACAAACAGCATTCATTGCAGATTTTATTTGACTCTTTTATGGAAAAAAGAGCAGTTGTGATTTTTTAAAGATAATACACATCCCCTTCACTCAGCATTTGAATTGCTACCATCAGGACGCAGGTTTAGAATTCCTAAAGTACGAAGAAATGCCTATAAAAAGTCATTTATCCCAATGGCAGTTGTTGTTCTAAACCGGATCAATGTTTGTAGTGAATGAGGTGGTTACCAAGAATGATTTGCAGTATTGTGCATGGGGCTAATTTGGTTTTTAAACTTTTAACTTATGTTGTTGTCTTGATAAGTGTTGTTATTGTGTCGTTGTTGTATGTTTGTAATTGTTGTCCTAAATCCAGTGTTGAAGAAAAATTTCCTTTCTGTGTCAAGCAGAACGGATAATAAAGTTTAAACTAAACTAAACTAAACTAACATATATAACACAAGCTCAATGTTAGATTTTTGGGGACGTTAAAGGGTAATACAGAAATTCAGAACTCCAGTAATAAGTCCCTGTAGGATTTCGAGTCCAAAAATACATACTTTTTTTTAAAGATTAGTGTAATTTCACAGCGAGACACAAGCAAGCATTGAAGAAAAGCCTTGACAAAATCAGTCATTTTAGGCGACAAGTATTTTAAGAAGTCCCTACAAAATCCTGCAGGGACTGAAAACTGTTTATTTTTGGGGAAAGTGAAGAGTTTAAGTCAGTGCTTCAGCAAAATAAAAACACATCTGTGCTTTTAAATCCTCCGGGCCGGTCGACTGCTAGACGTCCACTTGACGTGTATTACTGTAAATTGAAAGTGAAATGACTGCGAGCTGAAAGCGCCGTCTGAGGTAATCGACAGCCTGAAAAAACAATCCGCAATATTCCTCTAACAGCGGCTGGATGCTCGGACGGTCATGTGCTTCCTCTCTTCCCTCCTCATCCTCATTCATTCACAGCTGTGTTGATGCATCTGCTCTCTGTTATCTGTTCTCGGAGCCTGGGGTGTGTGTGTGAGTGTTTAGTGTAAGTGTATTTCAGTGTGATTGTGTGTGTATACGTGTGTCAGTGTGATTGCGTGTGTGTTTACATGCGTGACAGTCTGATTGTGTGTATATGTGTGTATATCTATGTGTGTGTCTGACTGTGTGTATACATGTGTGTGTCTGTGTGGTTGACTGTGTGTTTGGTTTGTTTGTGCATGCATGTATGCGATTGTGCGCATGTGTGTGTGTGTGCTTTGTTTGTGCATGAATTTGTGAATGCATGTACGTGATTGTGCATGTAGATTG